GTAAAATTTGTGAAAATATTGAAGGGGCACAGCCAGGATAAAACATGGTAAAAATTTAAAATGCTCTCTAGCTGAAATGATTAAAAAATTACAAGTTTTCGACAGCCTGAACTACAGTCTTCGACGGTTAAAATGTGAATGACAAGAAACAAAGAAAAATCAGCCAGAGATCATTTTAAATTTCTACCACATTAAATTTGGTTTGTGACTAAAGTTTGATATCTGCACAGTTTTGCATTTGTTTGTAAGTTGCGACCGTCTAAGTGGAAGAATGTCCGATTGTGCAGAAATTCCTTCCAACACCTTTCTCTACCATTCTGATCTTCAAAAAAAAAAACTATTTCACCACCTGCAGACAGGTTGCTTTTGGTGCAGAGGTTTTCATAAAGCTCTACAGCTCTATGCTCAAGCAAATTCACTTTTTAAACTTATTAAAGGTGTTGTTAGAATACTAGTGAAGTGGATAGTCCTAAGTTTACGATTTTTGGTAACAACAGAGACAAATGTGTTTGTATTTCACAACATTGCACTCACAGATGGNTGTGCAGAAATTCCTTCCAACACCTTTCTCTACCATTCTGATCTTCAAAAAAAAAAACTATTTCACCACCTGCAGACAGGTTGCTTTTGGTGCAGAGGTTTTCATAAAGCTCTACAGCTCCATGCTCAAGCAAATTCACTTTTTAAACTTATTAAAGGTGTTGTTAGAGTACTAGTTAAGTGTATAGTCTTAAGTTTACGATTTTTGGTAACAACAGAGACAAATGTGTTTGTATTTCACAATATTGCACTTACAGATGGTTATATTCTTCAAAGGCATACTTCAAATTGCAACTGCAATTTTTAAAGAACTGGAGGGCAATGGTAAGGGTCATCCCAACCACACCTAGAGGCAACCCTCCTTCAGTCCCAACAATGCGGGAGTGGCTCTTGCCGTTGGAAGTTGACTGTTGTGGTGAGTATTGAAAATAGGCCCTTTGCACGATGCAGTCACATGGTATGGAAAAATTATGCTGGGATGCAAGTTACACAGTAAAGGTAAAGGGTAAAGTCTGCATACGAGCCAAGTGGCCCATCAGGCCGGAGCTTATCCCAGTTTCTGTAGCATGAAGCG